TGCCATCGCGTCCATCGCACTAAGGCTCTCTATTCCCCTCCCCCCCACACCACTCCAGTACTTTGTCTGGGAAGCCATGCAGGACACATTAGTGCAGATCCTGTTTGTGTGTGCCATCGCGTCCATCGCACTAAGGCTTTCTATTCCCCTCCCCCCCACACCACTCCAGTACTTTGTCTGGGAAGCCATGCAGGACACATTAGTGCAGATCCTGTTTGTGTGTGCCATCGCGTCCATCGCACTAAGGCTCTCTATTCCCCTCCCCCCACACCACTCCAGTACTTTGTCTGGGAAGCCATGCAGGACACATTAGTGCAGATCCTGTTTGTTTGTGCCATCGCGTCCATCGCACTAAGGCTCTCTATTCCCCTCCCCCCACACCACTCCAGTACTTTGTCTGGGAAGCCATGCAGGACACATTAGTGCAGATCCTGTTTGTGTGTGCCATCGCGTCCATCGCACTAAGGCTCTCTATTCCCCTCCCCCCACACCACTCCAGTACTTTGTCTGGGAAGCCATGCAGGACACATTAGTGCAGATCCTGTTTGTGTGTGCCATCGCGTCCATCGCACTAAGGCTCTCTATTCCCCTCCCCCCCACACCACTCCAGTACTTTGTCTGGGAACCCATGCAGGACACATTAGTGCAGATCCTGTTTGTGTGTGCCATCGCGTCCATCGCACTAAGGCTCTCTATTCCCCTCCCCCCCACACCACTCCAGTACTTTGTCTGGGAACCCATGCAGGACACATTAGTGCAGATCCTGTTTGTGTGTGCCATCGCGTCCATCGCACTAAGGCTCTCTATTCCCCTCCCCCCACACCACTCCAGTACTTTGTCTGGGAACCCATGCAGGACACATTAGTGCAGATCCTGTTTGTGTGTGCCATCGCGTCCATCGCACTAAGGCTCTCTATTCCCCTCCCCCCCACACCACTCCAGTACTTTGTCTGGGAAGCCATGCAGGACACATAAGTGCAGATCCTGTTTGTGTGTGCCATCGCGTCCATCGCACTAAGGCTCTCTATTCCCCTCCCCCCACACCACTCCAGTACTTTGTCTGGGAAGCCATGCAGGACACATTAGTGCAGATCCTGTTTGTGTGTGCCATCGCGTCCATCGCACTAAGGCTCTCTATTCCCCTCCCCCCCACACCACTCCAGTACTTTGTCTGGGAAGCCATGCAGGACACATTAGTGCAGATCCTGTTTGTGTGTGCCATCGCGTCCATCGCACTAAGGCTCTCTATTCCCCTCCCCCCACACCACTCCAGTACTTTGTCTGGGAAGCCATGCAGGACACATTAGTGCAGATCCTGTTTGTGTGTGCCATCGCGTCCATCGCACTAAGGCTCTCTATTCCCCTCCCCCCACACCACTCCAGTACTTTGTCTGGGAAGCCATGCAGGACACATTAGTGCAGATCCTGTTTGTGTGTGCCATCGCGTCCATCGCACTAAGGCTCTCTATTCCCCTCCCCCCCACACCACTCCCTCCCCCCCACACCACTCCAGTACTTTGTCTGGGAAGCCATGCAGGACACATTAGTGCAGATCCTGTTTGTGTGTGCCATCGCGTCCATCGCACTAAGGCTCTCTATTCCCCTCCCCCCCACACCACTCCAGTACTTTGTCTGGGAACCCATGCAGGACACATTAGTGCAGATCCTGTTTGTGTGTGCCATCGCGTCCATCGCACTAAGGCTCTCTATTCCCCTCCCCCCCACACCACTCCAGTACTTTGTCTGGGAACCCATGCAGGACACATTAGTGCAGATCCTGTTTGTGTGTGCCATCGCGTCCATCGCACTAAGGCTCTCTATTCCCCTCCCCCCACACCACTCCAGTACTTTGTCTGGGAACCCATGCAGGACACATTAGTGCAGATCCTGTTTGTGTGTGCCATCGCGTCCATCGCACTAAGGCTCTCTATTCCCCTCCCCCCCACACCACTCCAGTACTTTGTCTGGGAACCCATGCAGGACACATTAGTGCAGATCCTGTTTGTGTGTGCCATCGCGTCCATCGCACTAAGGCTCTCTATTCCCCTCCCCCCCACACCACTCCAGTACTTTGTCTGGGAACCCATGCAGGACACATTAGTGCAGATCCTGTTTGTGTGTGCCATCGCGTCCATCGCACTAAGGCTCTCTATTCCCCTCCCCCCCACACCACTCCAGTACTTTGTCTGGGAAGCCATGCAGGACACATAAGTGCAGATCCTGTTTGTGTGTGCCATCGCGTCCATCGCACTAAGGCTCTCTATTCCCCTCCCCCCACACCACTCCAGTACTTTGTCTGGGAAGCCATGCAGGACACATTAGTGCAGATCCTGTTTGTGTGTGCCATCGCGTCCATCGCACTAAGGCTCTCTATTCCCCTCCCCCCACACCACTCCAGTACTTTGTCTGGGAAGCCATGCAGGACACATTAGTGCAGATCCTGTTTGTGTGTGCCATCGCGTCCATCGCACTAAGGCTCTCTATTCCCCTCCCCCCCACACCACTCCAGTACTTTGTCTGGGAAGCCATGCAGGACACATTAGTGCAGATCCTGTTTGTGTGTGCCATCGCGTCCATCGCACTAAGGCTCTCTATTCCCCTCCCCCCCACACCACTCCAGTACTTTGTCTGGGAAGCCATGCAGGACACATTAGTGCAGATCCTGTTTGTGTGTGCCATCGCGTCCATCGCACTAAGGCTCTCTATTCCCCTCCCCCCCACACCACTCCAGTACTTTGTCTGGGAACCCATGCAGGACACATTAGTGCAGATCCTGTTTGTGTGTGCCATCGCGTCCATCGCGCTAAGGCTCTCTATTCCCCTCCCCCCCACACCACTCCAGTACTTTGTCTGGGAACCCATGCAGGACACATTAGTGCAGATCCTGTTTGTGTGTGCCATCGCGTCCATCGCACTAAGGCTCTCTATTCCCCTCCCCCCACACCACTCCAGTACTTTGTCTGGGAAGCCATGCAGGACACATTAGTGCAGATCCTGTTTGTGTGTGCCATCGCGTCCATCGCACTAAGGCTCTCTATTCCCCTCCCCCCACACCACTCCAGTACTTTGTCTGGGAAGCCATGCAGGACACATTAGTGCAGATCCTGTTTGTGTGTGCCATCGCGTCCATCGCACTAAGGCTCTCTATTCCCCTCCCCCCCACACCACTCCCTCCCCCCCACACCACTCCAGTACTTTGTCTGGGAAGCCATGCAGGACACATTAGTGCAGATCCTGTTTGTGTGTGCCATCGCGTCCATCGCACTAAGGCTCTCTATTCCCCTCCCCCCCACACCACTCCAGTACTTTGTCTGGGAACCCATGCAGGACACATTAGTGCAGATCCTGTTTGTGTGTGCCATCGCGTCCATCGCACTAAGGCTCTCTATTCCCCTCCCCCCCACACCACTCCAGTACTTTGTCTGGGAACCCATGCAGGACACATTAGTGCAGATCCTGTTTGTGTGTGCCATCGCGTCCATCGCACTAAGGCTCTCTATTCCCCTCCCCCCCACACCACTCCAGTACTTTGTCTGGGAAGCCATGCAGGACACATAAGTGCAGATCCTGTTTGTGTGTGCCATCGCGTCCATCGCACTAAGGCTCTCTATTCCCCTCCCCCCACACCACTCCAGTACTTTGTCTGGGAAGCCATGCAGGACACATTAGTGCAGATCCTGTTTGTGTGTGCCATCGCGTCCATCGCACTAAGGCTCTCTATTTCCCTCCCCCCCACACCACTCCAGTACTTTGTCTGGGAAGCCATGCAGGACACATTAGTGCAGATCCTGTTTGTGTGTGCCATCGCGTCCATCGCACTAAGGCTCTCTATTCCCCTCCCCCCACACCACTCCAGTACTTTGTCTGGGAAGCCATGCAGGACACATTAGTGCAGATCCTGTTTGTGTGTGCCATCGCGTCCATCGCACTAAGGCTCTCTATTCCCCTCCCCCCCACACCACTCCAGTACTTTGTCTGGGAAGCCATGCAGGACACATTAGTGCAGATCCTGTTTGTGTGTGCCATCGCGTCCATCGCACTAAGGCTCTCTATTCCCCTCCCCCCCACACCACTCCAGTACTTTGTCTGGGAAGCCATGCAGGACACATTAGTGCAGATCCTGTTTGTGTGTGCCATCGCGTCCATCGCACTAAGGCTCTCTATTCCCCTCCCCCCCACACCACTCCAGTACTTTGTCTGGGAACCCATGCAGGACACATTAGTGCAGATCCTGTTTGTGTGTGCCATCGCGTCCATCGCGCTAAGGCTCTCTATTCCCCTCCCCCCCACACCACTCCAGTACTTTGTCTGGGAACCCATGCAGGACACATTAGTGCAGATCCTGTTTGTGTGTGCCATCGCGTCCATCGCACTAAGGCTCTCTATTCCCCTCCCCCCACACCACTCCAGTACTTTGTCTGGGAAGCCATGCAGGACACATTAGTGCAGATCCTGTTTGTGTGTGCCATCGCGTCCATCGCACTAAGGCTCTCTATTCCCCTCCCCCCACACCACTCCAGTACTTTGTCTGGGAAGCCATGCAGGACACATTAGTGCAGATCCTGTTTGTGTGTGCCATCGCGTCCATCGCACTAAGGCTCTCTATTCCCCTCCCCCCCACACCACTCCCTCCCCCCCACACCACTCCAGTACTTTGTCTGGGAAGCCATGCAGGACACATTAGTGCAGATCCTGTTTGTGTGTGCCATCGCGTCCATCGCACTAAGGCTCTCTATTCCCCTCCCCCCCACACCACTCCAGTACTTTGTCTGGGAACCCATGCAGGACACATTAGTGCAGATCCTGTTTGTGTGTGCCATCGCGTCCATCGCACTAAGGCTCTCTATTCCCCTCCCCCCCACACCACTCCAGTACTTTGTCTGGGAACCCATGCAGGACACATTAGTGCAGATCCTGTTTGTGTGTGCCATCGCGTCCATCGCACTAAGGCTCTCTATTCCCCTCCCCCCACACCACTCCAGTACTTTGTCTGGGAAGCCATGCAGGACACATTAGTGCAGATCCTGTTTGTGTGTGCCATCGCGTCCATCGCACTAAGGCTCTCTATTCCCCTCCCCCCCACACCACTCCAGTACTTTGTCTGGGAAGCCATGCAGGACACATTAGTGCAGATCCTGTTTGTGTGTGCCATCGCGTCCATCGCACTAAGGCTCTCTATTCCCCTCCCCCCCACACCACTCCAGTACTTTGTCTGGGAAGCCATGCAGGACACATTAGTGCAGATCCTGTTTGTATGTGCCATCGCATCCATCGCCGTCAGCATCCCCGCAGAGGGCTCCCTTTCCGCTCCCTTCCCTGTGCGGCCCACCCTGTTCCCCTCCGCACTAAGGCTCTCCATTCTCCTCTCTTTCTTCCCCTCCTAACCCCCCACTCCAGTACTTCGTGTGGGAGGCGATGCAGGACACGTTAGTGCAGATCCTGTTTGTGTGTGCCATCGCGTCCATCGCCGTCAGCATCCCCGCGGAGGGCTCCCTGGAGGGCCTCTATGACGGGCTGGGGATCTTCATCGCGCTCTTCCTCATCATCACTGTTGCTGGTAGGCACCGTAACATCCTGGTAGGCACTGCTGCTGCACACCCACTTGCCCAATGGTGTCCGTGTGAACCATTGGGCTCCCTGGCGGGGCTGTACGACGGGCTGGGGATCTTCATCGCGCTCTTCCTCATCATCACTGTTGCTGGTAGGCACTGCTGCGAGTATTGCAATCACAATTCCACACTTGTCCCACAATATCGACCTTTGAGACGTCTCAGAAGTCAGCGTCGCTGGTAATGCACACACATATCCAATTACAGCCTCTCCCGCCATCTCCATCGCCTCTGCATCCCTCATGGTGGCCTCTCTATCCACTCACTACCCCTGCCGGTCGTTCCCCTTCACCCCCCCTGTGTGCGCGCATGTGTGTGTGGTGAGCAGCGATAAGCAACTACCGGCAGGCAGTGCAGTTCCAGAAGCATTGAGGTGGTATTTATGGCGCCTCAAAAACCTCCTCCCATCCCCCTGTGTGCGCCCATGTGTGTGCGTGCGCGCATGTGTGTGCGGTGAGCAGCGATAAGCAACTACCGGCAGGCAGTGCAGTTCCAGAAGCTCAACCGCGAGAAGCAGAAAATTCAGATCGAGGTGAGAGATGTCGCCTTGTTGCCGCCCGCCTTGTCCCTACTAAAAAGGCTCCGCTATTGCCATCCATCGTACCTTCTGGCCCTGATGCGTCCTCCGCTTTTCTCCTGCCGAGCATCTCACCTCACCCTTGCTCTCCCTGCCCTCCTCCATCCCTTCATGCCCTCTCTAGCCGCACCCGTTCATGCCCCCCCCACCCACACCCTTACATGCCTGTGCACCGTCACACACACTCCGTGCTGCTGCTGCTGCTGCTGCTGCTGCTGCTGCTGCTGCTGCTGCTGCTGCTGCTGCTGCTGCTGCTGCTGCTGCTGCTGCTGCTGCTGCGCACAGGTGACGCGGTCAGGGCGGCGGTGCAAGGTGTGGATAGACGATCACGCCTTTGTCCCTCTCCAACCACACCCCTTACGCCTTGCATCATCACACCATCACCATCATCCCATGGCATCCTCATGCTGCGCACAGGTGACGCGGTCAGGGCGGCGGTGCAAGGTGTGGATAGACGACCTGGTGGTGGGCGATATCATCCACCTCTCCACCGGCGACCATGTGAGCCATGCCCCTCGCCTTGTCGCACCGCATGCCATGGCATGCGGTGATCTCCCACTCCCACATTGTGCTGGCTTTAGGATGTACAAGTTCAAGCATTGTCTGTTTCTCACACTGTGTGCCTTCACTGTGTGCCTTCACTGTGTGCCTTCACTGTGTGCCTTCACTGTGTGCCTTCAATGTGTGCCTTCACTGTGTGCCTTCACTGTGTGCCTTCACTGTGTGCCTTCACTGTGTGCCTTCACTGTGTGCCTTCACTGTGTGCCTTCACTGTGTGCCTTCACTGTGTGCCTTCACTGTGTGCCTTCACTGTGTGCCTTCACTGTGTGCCTTCACTGTGTGCCTTCACTGTGTGCCTTCACTGTGTGCCTTCACTGTGTGCCTTCACTGTGTGCCTTCACTGTGTGCCTTCACTGTGTGCCTTCACTGTGTGCCTTCACTGTGTGCCTTCACTGTGTGCCTTCACTGTGTGCCTTCACTGTGTGCGTTCACTGTGTGCGTTCACTGTGTGCGTTCACTGTGTGTGTTTACTGTGTATGTTCACTGTGTGCGTTCACTGTGTGCGTTTCTCTCTCTCTCTCGGGGCACACACAGGTACCAACGGACGGGGTGGTGATGGAGGGGCACTCGCTGGCAGTCAACGAGTCCAGCATCACAGGGGAGTCCGAGAACGTGAGTGCCGCCCTTATGAGTGCCGTCCTGCCATGGGCCTCACCACATTGGCCTCACGGTGACACCAGAATTGACACCAGCATTGACACTAGCATTGACAGCTGCAATCAGTGAAGTGACGCCCTGTGCCATTGCATGCTGCTGCCGTGCCGTGCTGTGCTGTGCCATGTGTTGTGTTGTGCTGTGCTGTGCTGTGCTGCACTGTGCTGTGCTGTGCTGTGCTGTGCTGCACTGTGCTGTGCTACACTGTGCTGTGCTGTGCGGTGCTGTGGTGTGGCAGATGCACAAGGACGAGGCGAGCCCCTTCATTCTAGCCGGGTGCACCATCATGGATGGATTCGGTGAGATGATGGTGAGTCGCCCTTGGGGGTCCTCACCAGATGTTCACCGGGAGCTAATGCTGACATGCCGGTGAACCGGTTCTAGTCAGACTGTCAGTCAGAACCTTGACTAAGTATCTCCAACTTCGAACTCTGCTCCCTCGATTTTCGTTAGACTCGAACCAAACCAGTTCAGTTCAGTTAACTGTTTTGCCAGATTGAGTTAGGTTGTTTCTCATGTCTACCCGCCGCCTTGCCTGCCTGTGTGTGTGCATGCGTGTGCTTGTGTGAATGGCACCTCTTTCCACACTGCGTGCGTGTGTGCGTGCGTGCATGCGTGCGTGCGCGCGTGCATGCATGGCGATCAGGTGACGGCGGTGGGCATGAGGACGGAGTGGGGCAAGGTGCTGGCAACCATTACAGAGGACAGCGATGAGCCCACACCGCTGCAGGTTAGTGGGTTGTGATGCGAGCAGAGGAGCGGTGCAGGTGCGTGATCAACACGTAGTTTCTGCTCACTGCTGCAGGTACATGGGTTGGGGCAAGGTGCTGGCAACCATCACAGAGGACAGCGACGAGCCCACACCGCTGCAGGTTAGTGGGGAGTGAGTTGGGCAGAGCAGCGGTGCAGGTGCATGATTGCCAGGTAATGGTTGTGAGTGGGGCAAGGTGCTGGCAACCATCACAGAGGACAGCGACGAGCCCACGCCCCTGCAGGTTAGTTCGTTGGGTGTGTGGTGGGCAGAGGAGTGGCGACGGTGAGGGATTGATGGGTAGTGGTTGCACACTGCTGCAGGTGAGTGGGGCAAGGTGCTGGCGACCATTACCGAGGACAGTGACGAGCCCACACCGCTGCAGGATAGTGAGGAGTGAGTCAGGCAGAGGGAGAGGTGCAGGTTTCTGGTTGACGGGCAATGCTGCACACTGCTATATCATTAGGCAACACAGCCAGGCTGCTGTGGTTCGAATCCCTCTGTGTCCAACTCTGCCCTGCACACCACCAGGTGCGGCTGACCAGAGTGGCAGAGCTGCTGGGCATCATGGGCATCACTGTGGGCGTCCTCATTTTCCTCATCCTCAGTATAAGGTGTGTTCCTTACCGGTATAGGTCACTGCTCTGGTTGGGTTGGGAGCCGCTCTTTATTCACAAAAGTAATAAATATGGAAAGAAAGAAAGAAGGAAAGAAAGAAAGAAAGACAAGTGAAGAATGTTAAGGCGCGTGCAGTGTATAGCCGTTGGAAGTCTCATGAAATGCCATCCCATGCCACACCACACCACACCACACCACACACCACACCACACCACACCACATCACACCACACCACACCACACCACACCACACCACACCACACCACACCACACCACACACCACACCACACACCACACCACACCACACCACACACCACACCACACCACACCACATCACACCACACCACACCCTGCAGGTACCTGGTGACGGATGCAGACTTCAGCAACTTCACTGCCAATGACGTCAGCGTGCTGCTCAGCTACTTCACCATCGCGGTATGCCCTCACCCATCCCACCCCTCCCACCATTGCGGTATGCTACCTCTTCCCCAATCCCTCGACCACTCACTCTCTTATTGCCACCCAAGTGCTGTGTGCTCGCACTGCAATGCTGCAACATGGCACATCCGATATCTGTCCTCCTGCCCGCCCCTCTCCGTGCCTCTATCCTTCATTCACCTTTCCCATCAGATTACAGTGCTGGTCATTGCGGTGCCAGAAGGCCTTCCCCTTGCTGTCACTCTCACGTAAGACTAAGAGCATCTGCATGACTGGAAGCATGTGCATCAATGGAAGCATTGTTTGTGGTAACTAAACAACCAGTTCTCTAGAAGTCATGAAGGCCTTCCCCTCGCTTATCTTTCCCTCACTACCCTCTCCCTGTGTGAGCTGCCTGTTTAGCTCACTTTCCTTGTGACCCACCCATTCTTCCTCCCCGCCTCTCTTTTCACCCTCCTCACCCTCCTCCTCCCCTGTTTCCCCCTTTTGTACCTGCACACCAGTCTGGCCTTCTCAGTGACAAAGATGATGGAGGATAATTCCCTGGTGAGATAACAGTCATGTCCGTCTCTCTCATTCCCCTCACTGCTGCTGCCTGCTGCCACCTGCTGCTAGTGCAGTGCTATGTAAATCTCGCTGCATGTAAATCGCTGCCCTGCATACCAGGCTGGCCTTCTCAATGACAAAGATGATGGAAGATAATTCCCTGGTGAGCTCATGCTCATGGCTGTTTCATTTCCCCCACTGCTGCTCATGCCTGCTGCCGCCTGGTGTTTCTGCTCTTCTATTGGTGCGCTGCTATTGGTGCATGCATTGCTGCTGGTACGTTGCCATGCAAATTTAGCTGCATGTTATCACATGCGTTCCGTGTGCCCTATGTGCTGCCCACTCGTCCCAACCATCTGCAGTCATGTGAGACGATGGGGTGTGCCACCACCATCTGTGACTGTTGAGTCAACTCAAAAGTCGCATGTCATCTCATGCGCTCCGTGTGCCCTGTGCCATGTGCCCTGTGTTTTGCTCATCCCCACCAGGTGCGACATCTGCAGTCATGTGAGACGATAGGGTGTACCACCACCATCTGTGACTGTTGAGTCAACTCAAAAGTCGCATGTCATCTCATGCGCTCCGTGTGCCCTGTGCCATGTGCCCTGTGTTTTGCCCATCCCCACCAGGTGCGACATCTGCAGTCATGTGAGACGATGGGGTGTACCACCACCATCTGTGACTGTTGAGTCAACTCAAAAGTCGCATGTCATCTCATGCGCTCCGTGTGCCCTGTGCCATGTGCCCTGTGTTTTGCCCATCCCCACCAGGTGCGACATCTGCAGTCATGTGAGACGATGGGGTGTGCCACCACCATATGCAGCGACAAGACCGGCACTCTCACTCTCTCCACACTCCCCCAATTGCTTTGTTCCATATGCCATGTGTGCTGCCCACTCACCCCCACCAGGTGCGGCACCTACAATCGTGTGAGACGATGGGATGCGCCACCACCATATGCAGCGACAAGACCGGCACTCTTACTCTCAATGAGGTGTGTGCTTTTGAGGTGCCTCACAAAGGGACTCGTGCGGCACATGGCAGCATGTGAGACGATGGGGTGTGACTTTTGAGTCGGCTCAAAAGTCACACAGCAGCATGTGAGACCATGGGGTGTGCCACCACCATCTGTAGCGACAAGACCGGCATGCTCACTCTCGATGAGGTCTCCTCTCTCTCTCTCTCTGCACTCCCTCCCTTGACAGACTCCCCCACTTGCCATTTCCCTTTCAGACAAGTCATTGCACATGGCATAAGCATTCGGCATTCCACATCCCCACTGCCCTGCCCGTGCAAGCCCCCCCTGTGCTCCTCTCACCCTCTCTCATCCCCTCTCACACCCTCTCTTGCACCAACCATTCCGTCTTACCTCTCGCTCTCTCTCACTCCCCAGTGCCACATTCCCCTGCACCTCCCGTGTTCGCCCCCCCCACACACGCACACAGATGACAGTGGTGCAGGCGTGGGTGGCAGGCGACTTCCACAAGCCCCACACCGTCCGCACTGGCGTCTCCACACCCGTCGCTCAGGTATGCCTGCCTCAGGTACACCCATGGCTCAGATACACCCATGGCTCAGATACACCCATGGCTCAGATATGCCTTGTCTGCTGCTGCTGCTGCTACGTCTGTCCCATGGCCCCACCGCGCCTCTCTCCTCCCCGCGCCACCTACCTGGGCTGTCCGACAATGCCTCCACTGCCTCCTGCCCCAACACGTCTCACACGCCCAAGTCCTCCTCTCCCCCTTTGCCATGTCTGTGCTCCCCCACGCAACAGCTGCTATACCAGGCCATCGCAGTCAACACCAGTGGATCCGTCGATGAGCCTCCGGTACCCTCTCTCCTCCTCACCTGAGTCACCTCACTCTCCTCCTCATCTTTCTCCTCACCAATCCCTCTTCCTCATCCCTCTCTCCTCCTCACCCCTCTCTCCCCATCATCACCCCTCCCCTTTACCCTTCTCTCCTCCTCACCCCCCTCTCCCCCCCATCCAAGCCTGCCATGCTATTCTTGCTGCTCTGCTCTGCTCACATCATCTCACACAACCCCTCCATTGTGTCGCCTCAACTTTTATCTTTCCATGATTCACAAACCCCCCTCCCCTCCTTCCTCTCCTCATTCCCCTTCGCTCTTCTCTCCCTACCTAATCTCTCTCCCTCTGCCTATCTCCCTCCTCTCCACACCCTGTGCTGCCACGTGGAAGGAGCAGGGCATGCCACCTGTCATCAGCGGCAGCCCCACAGAAAAGGCCATCCTCGCCTGGGGAGTCTCGGTAAGCCATCTCTCCCACCCACCTCCCTCCCATACTGGATTCGTCCCTGAGAACTCTCAAGTTTGCCACTAACCCCATCCACCCCCATGTTAGATTCACACTCTTGAGATTCTTTCAGAAATGCTGCCCTTCCCATCCTCTGCGAGGTGCCGGCAGTGCAGCGCTTCAGCTCCGATCCTGCTCTGCCTTGTGCTAACCATTCCTCCCTACCCCTTCCCCATTTTGTCTCCCCCCAACCAGTTCGGAATGTAGTTTCAAGAGACCAAGGAGCAGTGCGAGGTGGTGGCGGACTGTGCCTTGCGCTAACCACTTCCCTTTCCCTTCGCCTCATTCCCATCCCGCATCGCACCAGTTTGGCATGCGCTTCCACGAGACCAAGGGCCAGTGCGAGGTGGTGGCAGTGCAGCCGTTCAGCTCTACACGCAAGCGCATGGGCGTGCTCATCCGCACTGCCGAATCCCCCACCACCGCCGACTCCCTCACCGCCGCTTTTCCCGCCACCACCGCCAGCACCAGCAGCACGGGAACCGCTGGAAGCACCACCCCTGGCAGCCTGCGCGTGCACTGGAAGGGCGCAGCTGAGGTGGTGCTGCAGCACTGCGGGCACTACGTGAACTCCCTCGGCAGCATCGTGCCTCTCACCGAGCCCAAGCGCATGGAGCTAGAGCGAGCTCTCCGAGACATGGGAAAGGAGGCGCTGCGCACGCTGGGGTTCGCTTTCCGGGACTTTGACAAGCGCACAGGGGTGGAGGGGATGCCGAAGAGAGAGGATGGGAGCGTGGGGGTACCGGAGGACGATCTTGTGTATGTGGGGTTTGTGGGAATAAGGACCCCTGTAGGGTGGAAGTGCCAGATTCGGTGCAGCACTGCCAGAGCGCGGGGATTGTGGTGCGCATGGTCACGGGGGACAGCGTTGAGACGGCAACGGCTATTGCCACGGAGTGTGGGATTCTCACAGCGGGCGGCACTGTGATGGACGGCGCTACGTTCCGTGCCATCCACGAAAACGACCTCCCTGCCACCGTTGACCGCCTGCAGGTGCGTGCCAGAGCGCAGGTGGGCTTGAGGGCGCAAGTGGGTTGGTGGCTGTAGGCGGATGGGATTCTCACCGTGGGCGGCACTGTCATGGATGGTGCACAGTTCCGTGCCATCCATGAAAACGACCTCCCCGCTACCGTCGACCGCCTGCAGGTGGGTGGCACACGCTGATGGGGGGTGGGAGGCATGGGCAGAGGGCTGTGCTGAGAAGAGCACACGAGGGATATATGCAAGCTGCTTTGTTTCTGCCTCTATGCACCAACTCTCTCGCTTCCCACTGTCCTGCTCTCCCACCCTCAATATTCCCTGCCTCAGGTGCTGGCACGTGCGTCCCCCACAGACAAGCTACAGCTGGTGCGGGCGCTCAAGGAGATCTTGAGGTCATCTTGTGACCCCGCCCTCCCTCCCTTACCCTCCCGCCCTTCCACCCTCAACACCTCTGCCTCAGGTGCTGGCACGAGCATCCCCCACGGACAAGCTACAGCTGGTGCGGGCACTGAAAGAGATGGGGCATGTGGTGGCCGTCACTGGTGACGGCACCAACGACGCCCCCGCGCTGCACGAGGTGCGTGCCATAACCTACAGCTGGTGCGGGCACTGAAAGAGATGGGGCATGTGGTGGCCGTGACAGGCGATGGCACCAACGACGCCCCTGCGCTGCATGAGGTATGTGTGTGTGTGGTGGGTGCATGGGTACATGTGTGTCATGGGTGCATATGTTACACTTATGCACTATGAGATCAAGGAGATGGGGCATGTGGTGGCCGTCACAGGCGATGGCACCAACGACGCGCCTGCGCTGCATGAGGTGCGCGTGTGTGAGTGAGGTGGGTGCCATGGGCGTTGGGTGCTCGTATCGTGCTCTCAATCACCATTTTTCTCCACCCTTCCCATCCATCATCATGTGACTCAAAGCACATCCCCTCCCCTCCCACACAGGCGGACATAGGCCTGGGGATGGGGCAGTGCGGCACGGAGGTGGCAAAGGAGAGTGCAGACATCATAATTCTGGACGACAACTTTGTATCCATCGTGCGCGTCGTCCTGTGGGGGCGCTCTGTCTTCGCCAACACCCATTCACCCACTCATCCGCCTCACAATCTCTTTCCCCTTCTCTCACACGTGCAACCTGCATGTCACTCTCTCTCCTCTGCCCCCTACCACATACAGGCGGACATAGGGCTGGCGATGGGGCAGTGTGGGACAGAAGTAGCAAAGGAGAGCGCAGACATCATAATCCTGGACGACAACTTTGCATCCATCGTGCGCACCATCGTGTGGGGGCACAGATAGATGCATGTCCATCTCTCCCCTACCACTCTCTCACCCTCCCTCCCCTACCACTCATACAGGGTGACATAGGGCTGGCAATGGGGCAGTGCGGCACGGAGGTGGCCAAGGAGAGTGAAGATATCATTATCCTGGACGACAACTTGAAGCAACTCAGAGCACGCAAGACGCATGTCTGTCCCTCCCTCCCCTACCACACACAGGCGGACATAGGCCTCGCCATGGGGCAGTGCGGCACGGAGGTGGCCAAGGAGAGTGCAGACATCATTATCCTAGACGACAACTCAAGGCAAAGAACACGCATGTTCCTCTGTCTTTCCCCTACCACACACAGGCGGACATCGGTCTCGCAATGGGGCAGTGCGGCACAGAAGTGGCCAAGGAGAGTGCAGACATCATAATCCTGGACGACAACTTTGCATCCATCGTGCGCACCGTGGTGTGGGGGCGCTCTGTCTTCGCCAACATACAGCGCTTCCTGCAGTTCCAGATCACCGTCAACTGCGTTGCCCTCACTCTCAACTTCATCTCCGCCGTTGTTACAGGGGATGCACCCCTTACAGCCGTCCAGGTGAGTAGGAGCTGACTGATTCGCTGCAGTGTGCGTGGGGCCAGGCTGTGTCTCTGTGTCTCTGTCTTCGCCAACATACAGCGCTTCCTGCAGTTCCAGATCACTGTGAGTTGCGTCGCCCTCACCCTCAACTTCATCTCTGCTGTCGTCACTGGGGATGCGCCTCTCACACCTGTCCAGGTGAGTAGGGGCTGGCTGGCAGCGTGGCGTGGGGGCGTGCAGTGTGCAGTGTCTGTGTCCTGTGTGCTCTGTGTCTCTGTGTCTCTGTCTTCGCCAACATACAGCGCTTCATGCAGTTCCAGATCACCGTCAACTGCGTCGCTCTCACTCTCAACTTTATCTCCGCCGTTGTTACCGGGGATGCCCCCCTTACAGCTGTGCAGGTTAGTAGGAGCTGACTGGCAGCTGTGTGCTGTGTGCTGTGTGCTGTGTGATGTGTGCCGTGTGCTGTGTGCTGTGTGCTGTGTGCCGTGTGCCGTGTGCCGTGTGCTGTGTGCTGTGTGCTGTGTGCCGTGTGCCGTGTGCTGTGTGCTGTGTGCTGTGTGCCGTGTGCTGTGTGCTGTGTGCTGTGTGCTGTGTGCTGTGTGCCGTGTGCCGTGTGCTGTGTGCTGTGTGCTGTGTGCTGTGTGCTGTGTGCTGTGCTGTGTCTGTGAGGTGTGGGGGCGCTCTGTCTTCGCCAACATACAGCGCATCCTGCAGTTCCAGATCACTGTCAACTGCGTTGCTCTCACGCTCAACTTCATATCCACGGTCCTCACAGGGGATGCACTGCACTGCGTTGTCCTCACAGGGGATGCACCCCTCACAGCCCCTGCGGGGCACAGCCAAGACATCATTCTCCCCTGCACTGCACCCTCCTCTCCCCTCTTTCTTCCCCCCTCCGATTCTCTCCCTCAACTCCTTTCTCCTCTTCCATTCCAGATGCTCTGGGTGGATCTGATTCAGGATACACTGGGAGCGCTCGCCCTGGCTACCGAGCCGCCCTCCAACAAGCTGCTGCAGCAGCCGCCCGTGGGGCGCAGCCAAGACCTCATTCTCCCCTGCACTGCACCCTCCTCTCCCCCCTCTCCCCCCACCCTCCCACTCTCCCTCAACTCCTTCCCGTGCTCTTACTCTCCAGATGCTCTGGGTTGACTTGATTCAGGACACGTTGGGAGCGCTAGCCCTGGCCACAGAGCCCCCCTCCGACAAGCTGCTGGAGCAGCCGCCCGTGGGCCGCAGCCAGGAGCTCATTCTCCCCTGCACTGCACCCTTCTCTCTCCCAACCCCTTATTGAACTTCTTCTCCTTCCCCCCCCTGTTTTCCAGATGCTCTGGGTGGATCTGATTCAGGATACCTTAGGAGCGCTCGCCCTGGCCACTGAACCGCCCTCAGACAAGCTCCTGGAGCAGCCGCCCGTGGGGCGCAGCCAGGAGCTGGTATCCGCCGCCATGTGGCGCAACATCATTGGGCAGACGGTGTACCAGCTGTCGCTGCTGTGCGTGCTGTGGTTTAAAGGCATGGAGCTGCTGCAGCTGCCGGGGCCTCCAGGCGTGCCAAGGGTGATTGCCAAAGGGGGAGAGGAGATCTCGGAAGGGGAGAAGCAGCTGGTGACCATCATATTCTCCTCCTTCGTCTTCATGCAGGTGGGCTGGGGGGTGGGTGCTGTGGTGGCAGTGGGATGGGATTGCTGTGCGTGCTGTGGTTTAAAGGCATGGAGCTGCTGCAGCTGCCGGGACCCCCGGGCGTGCTGAGGGTGATTGCCAAGGGCGGGGAGGAGATATCGGAAGGGGAGAAACAGCTGGTGACCATCATTTTCTCCTCCTTCGTCTTCATGCAGGTGAGTGCGGTTACGGAATTGGGTTGTATGTTTCGTCTATATGCAGTTGTGCTGGAGAGGGGGGGGGGGTTAGATGGGTGGGTTGGAGAAGCAGCTCGTTACCATCATCTTCTCCTCTTTCGTCTTCATGCAGGTGGGTGCGGCGTGGGGAGGGGTTGTAGTGGTGGTGAGGTTGGTTATCTTGTGGGTGCGATAGTCGTGGGGCGGGAATGCAGGTCATAGAGGAAGACGCAGCTGGTTACCATCATCCTCTCCTCCTTGACACTCAATAGTCACCAAGTCATTTTGAGTCGACTCAAAAGTCACCCCTTATGGGTGCGGTAGTTGAGGGGCGGGAATGCGGGTCATAGGGGAAGATGCAGCTGGTTACCATCATCCTCTCCTCCTTCGTCTTCATGCAGGTGTGGCTGTCAGAACCACCTCCTAAGCTCTCCCATCTCTCTGCTCTGCCCTTCCACCTGCACCCCCCGTTCCACCGCCGCCAACCAGATATTCAACCAGCTGAACTCTCGCAAGCTGGAGGAGTGGAACGTGTTTGAGGTACTGTGAGGCTCGAATCAATGTCACACGCACCTCCACTCCTCTCCTCTCCCTGTCCTGACCCCCCGCACCACTCCACCCACCAGATATTCAACCAGCTGAATTCGCGCAAGCTGGAGAAGTGAAGCTCCATGTGGCTGTCAGCACTATACCGTCTCTCTGCCCTTCCACCTTCATCCCCCCCCCCTCCAACCCCTTACGCCACCACCGCCCATCAGATATTCAACCAGCTGAACTCACGCAAGTTGGAGGAGTGGAACGTGTTTGAGGGGCTGCTCACCAACCGCCTCTTCATCCTCATCGTCTCCATCGAGCTCACTGTGCAGGTCAGCACCGGTCTATGCAGCTAGTCAATGCTGGTCAATGCAGGTGAATCCAGGCAATACAGGTCAATGCTGGTCAATGCTGGTCAATGCAGGTGAATCCAGGCAATACAGGTCAATGCTGGTCAATGCAGGTGAATCCAGGCAATACAGGTCAATGCTGGTCAATGCAGGTGAATCCAGGCAATACAGGTCAATGCTGGTCAATGCTGGTCAATGCAGGTGAATCCAGGCAATACAGGTCAATGCTGGTCAATGCAGGTGAATCCAGGCAATACAGGTCAATGCTGGTCAACCGCCTCTTCATCCTCATCGTCTCCATTGAGCTCTTCGTGCAGGTCAGTGGCTGGACAATTCTGATCAGCGCTGGTCAATGCTGGTCAATGCTGGTCAATGCTGGTCAATGCTGCACAGCTCTGGTCAACGTTGGTCAATGCAGGTTAATGCTAGCTGGTCAGTGTTGGGCAATGCTGGTCAACGCTGGTCAGCGCCTGCCTGTGAAGGTCCCTCCTCAACAAATCCACCCTATGCTCACTCTCCTCCTATCCCAACGACCCTCAATCCCCAGGTGCTGCTGGTGGAGCTGCTGGGCAAGTTTGCGGGCTGTGTGCAGCTGACAATGCTGCAGTGGACTCTCTGCTTCGTGCTGGGGGCTGGTTGCGTGCCCTTTGGCATTCTCACCAAACTCGTTCCCCTGCCAGGTATGCTTCACATTGCATGCATGCTTCGACACCCGGGGAAGAATGGTACGGTACAGCGGTACATGTACAGGAAGCATGGGGCTTGCTCACCAAGCTCACCCCCCTGCCAGGTATGCTTCACGTTGCATTGCATGCATGGTTCTACACTTGAGGACAAATGTATGGTACGGTACATGTACAGGAAGCATGGGGTATGCTCTCCAAGCTCACCCCCCTTTCAGGTACTGCTTCAAATTCTATGCATACTTGTATGCTTGGTTGGAACTTCATTCATGGTACACTACCATGTTCTGTACACTATCCCCAGTCGTGTATTCCCAGAAATGACACTGACTGTTTCCCTCCCAAACACTCCCCTTGCGCTGGCCGTGCCGCATCATTCTATCTGCAGGAAAACGAAACGCTTGGAAGAAGATACTTTTTGGCCGGAATGCCAACCAGGGCTTTGAGCGCCTAGATGAAGCCCAATGATTGGATGCTCTCAGAGGTTTATTGGAAAATATTAATTGTGAAAGTCTACTTAGGCTGACTTGCAAAGGCAGCGATATCATTTCATGGGGACAGCGTTATCATTTCATATGGGTTGTAGTACATCGTTCTCGTCACATATAGGTCTACATAACAGCATACACAAATGGGTGGGCGGGTGGGAAATTAGAACTACAATTTTGGAAATGAAAACGTGGGTGGGAACGAATGTCCCCACGTCCCTCTTTAGTAGGCAAAAGTGGGTGAGTAGCACTTCTGCGCTACCTTTGCTGTGTTGGCCACGTACCCTTTTTCACATTACAAAATTCTATGAAGTGTTACATTTCGTTACACTTTCAAGAATTATCATATTGTGAAAGTCTACTTAGGCTGACTTGCAAAGGCAGCGTTATCATTTCATATGGGTCTTCTGAGGCAAGTGCGGTCGGGGCTGGCGGTGCCGTTCGATTGATAGCTGATGCGTGGCGGGTGAGGGAGCCGTCGAAGGATCCTGCAACTGCGTGGAGAGGGAGATGAGCTGATCCTGCGCGATTGTAACGTACATCTCCTTCGCGCTGTCGCTGCACCATCGGCCCATGCGTTTGAAGAGCCGGTCGGGAACTCCGAGCCTTGCCGCCGCGGTGGCTGCACCTTTGCGGAATGAGTGGGTTCCGATGTGCGCGACATCCAGTCTAGCTTGCCTGCCGGCCGCGAGACACCAGTTTCTGATCGTGACGTAGGATGACGAGTTGTCGTTTGGTGTGGCTTGCGAGTTCTTTGGGAAAACCCTTATCAACAGTTCATGTGGCATCTTTGTGAGGCCTGCGATGTGTATGAATTTGCGTGTGCACCTCACCGGGCAGTATGGGCCTGGAATTGCCGCCACTGGGATCCAGACACCCCTCCCTTCCTGGTCCGTCTTGGAGTGTCGGATGAGCAGCCACATTGCCTTCTCTTCGAACTGTACATCATTCCATTGGAGCGATACGAGGTCAGAGTAGCGCAAGAATGCCGAAAACATGAGAAGAGGAATCAATCCTTTCTGGTATTCCGCCGGAATTGATGATTCGAGGAAGGGACGGGCCATGTTGTGCACTTGATGGAGAGATATGGGTTCTTTGGTCCTTGCACGTTGGGGACCATGTCTCTTGGCGAACTCCCGCACTTGCAGGGTGAATGGACCGATGGATGAGATACAGTGCTAGCGTCAGGTCGGTTGCCGGTAGGAACTCGAGCTTGACTTGGGTACAGAAGGTGCGAAATCTCTGCCAATAAGGTTGGTAGGTACGTCTCGATTGTAGATGGTGCGCGAACGTGGCTAATTACGTGCATCAATTGTTGTTGTAGTTTGGCCAAAAGTCCTGAAATGACACATTGATAATTTTTTATTATACTGCATAGTTTACACGCAAAGCAATGATTGGGCTATGAGTGTCAGAGGTCCATTGGTGATCCCCGATTGATCCTAGGGAAGGGTTACAGGCTCGTTGTCCTGGGGGGTTATTGGTGCACTGACCCGTTACTTAACAAGCCATTTTATCCCAATGGTCTAGTGATTGGGATTTTGACACATAGTATCAGAGCGGTCTCGGGTTCAAATCCCGGTGTATGCACATGTAGACCGTTGCCGTTGTGCTTAGTCATGGGCCTCCCAGTGTGGGGGGGTGTCAGTAAATTTGCACTGTGGATGCCCGATTGATCCTGGGGGGGCTACATGCGCGTTCGCCTGGGGGGTTATGGGCGCACAAACCCGCTACTTATCAAGCCCTTTTATCCCAATGGTCTAGTGGTTGGGATTCAGACATGATATTAGAGTGAAGGTCTCGGGTTCGAATCCCAGTGTGTGCACTTTGGGCATCCCAGTGCGGGCGGGTGTCTGAGGTCCATTGTTGATCCCAATTGATCCTTGATAAGGGTTGTAAGCTCGTTGTCCTGGGGGGTTATGGGCGCACTGACACGCTACTTAACAAGCCCTTTTATCCCAATGGTCTAGTGGTTGGGATTCTGACAATAAGGCAACCCGAGACCAGAAAATGCAGTGGTGTGTGAACCTGCTCTAAGGCATTGACTGCCTTGGGCAAGGGAAAGGTGCTCTACTACTACCGGAGCCCACGATTGAGTGGTGACGCTCCGGTCCACTAGGGAACTACCAGTGTGAGTTCTGTCTGCGTAATTTCCGCATGGCGGAGTGTAGCGGGAATTAATTGTGGAGGCGGGAAGGCAAAGCATCGCTCGCCTTTCCACGAGATGGAAAATGCGTCGACAGCGAACGCGTCGGGGTGCGGTATCTTGGAGCAGAAGCGCTGGACGTGATTGTTCCGAACGTTAGCAAAGAGGTCGATTGTGTGGGGCCCCCAGCGATGTTCCAAGAGGCGAAACCAAGGTGCATATAGGGAGTAGCCGTCATAATCTTGCATCTTGGATAGGTCATCCACATGGACATTGAGCTCTCTCGGAATACATTCGATCGCGAGGCGTGTTGTGTTGCCGATGAAAATATGGATGATTGCTTGGCATGTCAACGTAAGGTCCGCCTGAGGGGATCCCCCCTTGCACAAGATGAACATGGCTGCCTGGTTGTCCACATGGACGAGGACGTGAGCACCCGCGATCCGGGTTGCGAACGTCCGCAGTGCCCATAGCACTCCCCCGAGCTCTCGCCGCGTACTGGATGTGGCGAGAAGCCCTCGTGGCATGCACTCGCTTGCTTCGCATGATGTACTTGGGAACTTGGCCAAGGTGGCACCCCAGCTGTGTGTGCTTGCGTCGACGTGGATCACGGCATCAAAACGTTGACTCTGGTGGAATGGGGCGCCATTGAAATGATCGAAGTGCATTGTCCAAAACAACAGCTCCTCTGTCGCTCCTTGTGACAATACAACCTTCGAGTTCCATGACCACGCGGAGTCGATCAAGTGCAGCAGCTCATGGCTGAAGGCACGCGCCGTCGTGCCTAGCGCGAGCAACATGGAGCTGAGAAATCCAGTGATCCGGGCTATCTTGCGAATCGGCACTTGTCGACCTGCTTGCCCTTTTTGTATGAGTATGTGGAGCTCGTGCAGTAGTTGCTCGCGCCGATCTTTTCTGACGAGGAACATTCCTTGTTCCGTGTCAAGCTCCATCCCCAAAAAGCGCAAGTGGTGTGCGGGATGCAGGTTTGATTTCTTAGAATTTATCACGAATCCCGCCGCCTTCAGGTTGTGGAGAACTTCGATGCATGTCGAACGGGCTTGCGCCTCGGAGTTGCAGAGGAATAGTACATCGTCCACGTATGGTATTACGCGCACTCCGCGCGCGCGCCATCTCTTGGCTAGTTGCTTAATGACCTGGGTGAAGACGAACGGGGCTGTTGCCAGGCCGAAAGGTAAGGATGTGAAGCAATAAAACTTCCACCCAATTGAAAGCCCAAAAACTTCCAGCATGATGGGTGGATTTCGACGTGGTGGTAGTCTGACTTGAGATCGATTGTGAACATCCAGTCGTTTGGGCGAATGATCTCCGCGACCCGACTCAAGCCCTCGTACTTGAACTTGGGAACTTGGAGGTGAGCGTTGACCTTCCGTAGGTCAAGGATGAGCCGACATTTGTCACGTTTCTCCACAATGTTGAGCGGGCTGATGCACGTAAGTGCGGCTTTCGATGAGACATTTATCGCGGCACCTGACGCGATGAGGTCGTTGACAGCGTCTTGGGTAAATGCCATGTGTGCTTGAACCCCTGCGTGATTGGGAGCTTCGAAGGGGAGAGGCTCCGCGCCCTTCCATGGTATCCAGTACCCTTTGGCAATGATGGAAAGGATAAGACTGCTGTCGCACCATGATAGCCACAAGTGGAGGCTGTTGCGCAATCGCATTCGCA